TGAAACCATAGTCTAGAGAGGACATTCTCCTTATCTTTCCCATGCAGTCAGAGAGACAGAGAGCATCCCCTAGGAATGATTCAGAGCAATAGCCATTATTCTCTCTGAGTCACCATTTGGAGGAGTTGTTCCCTCATAAATCATAAGCGAGCCTGGTGAGCAGACTTTGTTGCTAGGCAAACTCTGCATTTGTGAAATGTTTTGCAGTCAAACCAGGTGGTCTGCAGTACTTGCCAGATGATTTGCAATGTTACTTTGCAATTATTCCATACAATTTTATATTAAATTTAACAGGTGATTATGATCCACTAGGAGCACTAAGAGAACAATAGTGGACAGTACTTCAAGATGCTGAATGTGTATTACTAATCTGACAGAAGACCATCCCCTTTTTCCTGCTGGGCTATGTTTCTGCTGGCTTGATAAATTGAACTGGCTCAGTGATCCAAGGATATCCAAGGACAACTAGAGCTGGCAGGAGCAAACTGAATAGATAAGGCGGATAAGGGGAGCAGAACTGGAGGTAGTCTGTTAGCTGTTAGATCGTCTCACCCCATCCCATGGGAAGTTATGGGATATAAAGATTGGTGTAACTTTTAAATGAGAACAAGGTCTAACGCTCATTTAACAAGTGGCCAGACCAGCACAAAGCAACCTGGAACAGCTGCAAGTTCTCACTTAAACTTTCACAGTGTTACACGACAAGAAAGTGGCAGGCCTGAGAACACAATCTAAGAGTCCCTCTCATGGGCCTCCCTCTTGCCTTAGACTTGCCTCCCTTTTCAACCAGCCTGTGGTTTCTCTACTGCCTGCCAGCAAGCCTTCCAGCTGTGCTAACTCCAGTGGTGATGCTGACATCCGTTTGCTAAGAACTGGACTGAGACCAACAGCTCCTTTTGTATCTCCCCACAGTCATTACTTCTTCACTATTGACTTGGACAAGATTCAAACCAGTTGCCTATGGGTGAAAGGTTCCTTCTCCTGTCATGAATTCCACGCTCCCTCTTTCCCCTAGCTTCCAGCTGTCATCTCGTACCCCTTCTTCCTCCCAGTGGCTCTCTCTCAGCCTCTTGACCATTTTCAGCTGTCCCGCAGTTCCAGCTCCTCATGTCTATCCAGCCTTCTGATCTCCAAAGGCTGCTAGTCCTTGTTTCTTTGTCCTTCCTACTTAAGTCTGCTTCTCTTTGTTCTCGGGCTAGCCTGCTCTTGTATTGCTTTTCCTCCGTTTTCAGCATCGCTGGCACCATTCTCAGTTTCTATGACAATCCAATCTAGCCTTCTGTCTCTTGGTCCCAGGTTCTCCTCTGTCCCTGTTTCACCAGCCCTGATCAGTGTAGCCATTTGTTCTGCTTCCTCATTTCTTAGTCCAAGAGCTACCCACCCAGGTTCCCTCTAAGCTTCCAGCTTTTAACTAAAAAATTCAACTACCCAGCCAGCAGCCAAAAAGGCAAAAAAGGCCAAAATTAGAAGTCACTGGATATTCCAGAAAAATGGAAAAGATAGGACAAGGAGGCTGGACTGTAGTAAGTAAAAACAACAGCGTATATCTGAGGGGAAAAGGTACTATGGATCCACCTTGCTTGCTGAGATATACAGCCAGTTAGCCTCAGTGAAAACTCAATTGTTTTTTTGCTGGGGCCTGAGCCGGTGCAGCTGCGCAGCACAGGGCTCCACTCCAGCCTTAGGCTGACACAAGGTGGCCTCTATCACTCACACTCAGAACAAATTAACATATGACAGCAACCAGTTACCTCTTCTCCCTGAACACAAGTGAAATCATACAGCCGCTCTCCTATTATCAGTCACCAACGTGTGAGCCCACATGGGTGCACATTCAGTGATCCTTTTCTTTCAATAGGCTTGAGTTGCACCTTCCTACTTCTGGTTCTGTGCCTCTACAAATGTGGCAGAAAAGCCAGACTATCTCCACCCTTTGCCTATGGTGAAGGTGGCCTGCAAAGACTTGGCAGCGTAACACTCCTCACCAAAATTACATTCTAGCACTTTGAGCACAGATACTAGATTCTGGTTTTGGTTTATTTCATTGCTACCTAGTGTCTAAACGGGGGTTAATAATCTTATTATTAGGAAAACTGTCTGGCTTCACCCCTCCCCACTCAGTTCACATGTACATGAACACAATATTTTAGCCAAATGAACACAATATTCTAGACTATAATTGAGCCATTCCAGTTGTAATTAAATATATATATGTTTCAGAAATGCAAACTCATCACATGAATAAGGCTCCACTTACAACTAAATGATTTAAATGTGTGGATTTGCCAAGTAATTTCATTACCATACATAACCATCACCAATACATACTGCACCACTCATTCAAAAGATAAAATATGAGGATAATACCCTAATATCTTGACATGTGGGTGCGATTTAAACAAGTGCATAGTTGAGTTCAGAAGTCAAATTCAAGTCAGGCACACACTTCTTTTTCTGGACCGAGGACCATATGGCAAACAGCTGGACTCTAACATATATCGACATCCAATACCTCGAGGCTCTCACATAGCTGCAAGAACTGGTTGATTAAGATCAATGTATTGCTATTGCATGTCACTGATATTTCTCAATCTCTTTCTAATTTGTCCTCTACCCTGTTCTTGGGGATTTCTGGAGTTAAGTATTTCACAGTACTTCCAGTGAAGCTGAAAATTACCTAAGTGAGAAGGTTTTCAGGACTGAGTGGGGGAATTGTCAATCAAACCCACTCACACCTTCAAACGTTTTGTTTTGAAACCATGATTTTAGCCTGGAATAACTCCACTAAAATAATACTAATTCCAGATCTAATTAGGCAAAAATAATTCCCTTTTTTAACAGAGATTATAAAGTTCCTTAAGTTTATTCCTTTAAAAGAAACTTGAAGTACCAGGCACACTACAGATGTTACATGAGATGAGATTATCTTGCTAATTTCAGAATGAAAGAGGAAGGTTACCACCTGGAGCACTCGCTGTTCCCTTGCCTTGCCTGGAAAGTTAGGTTCTTTCTAGCAGAACTGGCTCCAGATCAGAACAGACTCCAGTCCCTCTTGGATAGAAACTTCCCACAAGTTTGTGCATGTGTTGTGGTCTTAGTGGCATATGAAGGACGAAAGAACAATGAAGGGATGCTGCACATCCAGCTCCCCTAGGCTACACAAATATCAGCTACATACTTGGAAGACTGCATTTGTTATGAAAATAATCATCCTTATCAGGTCAACTCCACATAAATTACCCCAAAAACACAGATATAATGTGAAACTTTTTCAAAATAAATTTTATAATGAAAACAAGCTGTAATTAATTATATTTTAGATTAGCACTTCATTGCTTTAACAATGTTTAACTTTAATGATACTTAATGTTGTATAGTATGTTCTTTCCAAAACAGAAACTTGTTATATAAATGAATGCACCATGTAGTTATTGGGATAATTATTAGGGCGAATATACTTAGGACAAAATGCTGGCCAAAAGCTATGTTTAAAAATTTTGCTTTCAAGCAATCTCAAAGGAAAAGCTTTTAAAAAGAGGTCAATTTACATATTCTTTAAGTTAGGAACTCTTGTACTGTTAAAAAAAGAAGAGTTTTCTGTTAGTAACACCAATATTTTCTCCAATTTTCTAGTACGGCAGGTGTGTGCATGTGTGTGTATATGTATTTTTTTTTTCTTTTTTTTTTTTTTAATTTAAATGCCCATTGCAGAATATAAGTACATATTAAAGGTCAACCTTAGTCTGAGATTAAAGCAACACAGATGAAGAAACAAATGCATTTTAGCAAGATTAATAAGTCCTAACCTCAAATAGGCTTAAATCATGACTACTCACATATTTAAATCTATACAAATTACATCTGTTTAACCCTTAGGAATTATTATATGCTATAAGCATAGTCCTTGAAGGAGGCCCTATTCTTTTACTTGGCAAACTTTCATGAATCAAAAAATCCTTTTAAAAATACCCATATATGATTTTGAGGGTTGAAAGGAAGAAAATATTAATAAGACCGTCTATTTTATGCCAGATAGAAGCATTATGATTAATTCTTATAATTACCATACCTTTCTCTGGGCAGTTCCTGACTGCAGTCACTGATAATAGTTTTTCCAAAATGCAGTCAGCCCATAGAAAAGCTCATCTGAGACAAAAAGAATATTTCAAAACACTGCATTTCTTCAGGACATATGCTAATTTTATAATAAAAGCAAAGACTTCTGGCTCAGTTTGAATTCACTATAGCCAGTAAAACTTCCTCTTGCCTCAGTGAGAGCACAATTGGACCCTTTCTACAGCTAAGATGACAAATTATCATTCTTTTAAGCAGCATTCAAAATAGCAATTGAGGTCCTGCTAAACTTGACAGATACCATAAGCAGCTTAAAGAAAACAGTAGCAGCTGTATTAATACATTAACCACTGTTTTACAAGGCTAAATGGAAGCCTTAATGTCCTCCTTGCATGTAATACATACAAGGCATAATGAAAAACTTTTTGCTAAATTTGTACTCATGTGTTCATGACTGTAAATTAATTCAAATTAGTAATGTTATATGTTTGTCCAACAAATTACTTGTTTTGGCACTTCAGCATGAGCAAAACAGACTTATAAAAGTGTGATGTATCTGATCACAGCTGAACCATCCACGTCTCCTTCTAAAAACTGCAGTGTCTGAAGCTGGAACAATGTAAAGCAGCTAAAGGAGCAATAAAAACTGCCATAAGAATATAGAACTTTCCCTCAGAAATATCAAATATACAGTGTACAGCTCTGAAGACAAGTATCAAGTGGAGAATAAAAAGCCCTCTTCTGGAATTGTTAATGGATATAGCAGCTGATCCTTTGAGAAACTGCCTTCTCCATTGCTTTCAATGGGATTACTCATGCAACAGGTTTTCAGCCCAGGAGCTCAAGTACAATGATTTCTGGCTGATTAAGTGGACAGTTTCAGATTTTTCTTACACCAAAGATTATGTGAAAACATAGGTACTTACACAGTAAAATGATAGATGAAACACTTCCATCCACTGGGCCTCTCCAGGAAGTTGTAGACATCTCTCTGCGTACTAGTTTTAGTTAAATAATGGCTATGGAAACACTTTGTTGCACAGGCCCCATGGACTTCACTTTCTGTCAAGGCTGCAGCCTTTGTGCCTTCCTCAGGGTTACGGAGAATCCCAGATCCATTATTCACCAGGGTTTCTGGATCCAGCACCACGGAATAATACTGCATATTGCGTAGGTTCCCTCCTACTTCCAGCAATGCTGCAGATTTCCTATTTCCATTCAGACTGCTAAGCTGGGAAGTGGAGCCTTGAACCCGTCCACAGCGGTTATACATCAGGTGCCCAACAGTTTCTCCACTACCACAGGACATTCTGTAACAATGCACAGGTATTACTAACCCTGATAAATATTTAAAATCATAAAGAAGGTATTGTATGCCCTCCCTGCCCAGGGTGTTCTCCAGCAGCTGGTAAGATGACTTTCTGCTGTTATCACAGAGCTTCTCTGGGACACAAGTGTGAGCTGTCAGCCTGTCACCTGCTGTCACTCACAGCCTCTGAAATTAAATAAAAAAAAAAAAGTATTAGTGACATATGCTAGACACCAGAAGTAACAGGAGGCTGGGAAAGGAAAGAGGTTAAGACTTCTGGAAGAAGAAAGAAAATTGTGATTCAAAGTTAACATTTGTTAAGAAGGAAACCTAAAACTATTTAAATAGCATAACACTAGTAAAGCAGCAGAGTTGTCTCGAGAGCTGATACTATGATATTATTTTAAGCTAAGCAGTTCTTGAAGTGTCCTGATTAGAGGTGGAACTGTGAAAATTTCCTGGAAGTAATAAACTTGCTGTTGCCTGAAACACTAGATTGGGGTTTTGAACTTCAACACCTACACCTCAAGAGACCTTATCTAGAGTGCCAATGTTACAGAAAGATTTTAAGACTTGAATAAATTATTTCAGTCACCTCATGGGATCTGATCTTTGCAGTCCACAGTACTCATGAACAATTTTTCTCAAGTGTAAAAAGGAGGATGCCATTAATGATAACTGTCACTGGAAGGTTAATATTGTTACAAGGGAGAATATCAAAAACTCCTGGCCTGATTCTTGATTTTCTTCAAGCCATTTAATGTTGGCTGCTAACTTTGCTACTCTCAAGCAAGTACCTAGAGAAAACAGAAAACAAGGCTCTTCTAGATCAATATATATTTCACGGGGCAGACTTAAATTACTGCAAATACACAGATACTTAGCAGCAATATTAATCATTTTGTGAGACTGAGAGCAGCTGTCTTTCTGAAGTGTCATTTTTTGTACTGCCTCACTTCTTACACACTACCATGAAAAGCTTCCTTATTTAAAATGCTTAGCTAAAATGAAAATATTAGGAAAATATGAGAATACTAAAAGCATCATGAGAGATGACTTTAACTTCAAAGCACTGCTGATGTTAATCATATTGTAATGTACTGTGTTATCCACAATATAAATCCCACAGGCCTAGGAGTTGCAGCTGGGTGCTCCTCTGTCAGAAGAGACTCACACCCACATTTTTAGTTACTTTAGTCTCAGCAGCATCGAGTAATTTAGAGAGAGAGAGAATTTCAGCCTTTACCCCATCTTTCTAAATAAAGCTTATTTTTTGGTGTTGCTTAGAGATCCCCATGTGTAGCAGATGAACTACCATTGTAGTACCTCTGAACAGAGCCCTCTAAGTTACTCCACAAGATAGTTACATGAAGTAGTGGACTTGTAAACAATGCGCTCATTTCTTAACACTGATCATGGTAAGGCAGACTGATGCATTTCTACATTAGTCCTATAGCAGATAGAGAAATACTTCCTTTCCCTCATCAGTTCTCTTAACACTGAAAAGCTGTAGGGACCAAACAATAAAGTTAAAACACAAAGCCCTTCATCCAAGCCAATCTACAAGAAGAACATAAGAAACACCTATCAGAAGTACACTCCCTCTGTACCACTCATTTCAGGGTGCTGAGGCTACCTAGACAAGTGCTTGTAGCAAAGGCTGGCTACCCAGCAGCTGCAAACAAAGCTACCTGAAACACATTTGCTAGCCTGCTTAAGCAAAACAGGGGATCCCACACAGTCAAATATATGGCACAGAAAAACCTGAAACCAGCTGGCAAACAGTACCCGCTTTCTTTTGTCGCATGTCCTGCTCCTTCTCTTTGCTGCTCCCTCAGCTCCATACAGCAGACTCCCTGGATAGGTGCAGGGAAAGGAGCTGCTGCCTGGCTCTGCCCCCAGCTTATCAAGTCCCACCCTGAGCAAGGCAGGGTCCCTCCCTTTTATCTGCCTTATATGGCTGCCCTTGAAAAAGGCAGAGAAAGAAGTGGGCAACAGTTTTGACAATTTCAGAGAGGAGTTACTTGTGCTTCCTCCTGTTGTCAAAACCAGCAATCACAAGCAACAGCTTAATTTTGCTGAGGATCGGCCTCCTTTCCCTCCCAGTCCTTTTCTTATCTGCATACACTTAATTGCAATGGGTTAAGAGTGGCACTTCCTTACTTCACATCTTTTAAAAATTTGAATTAGGTGTTGCTTGTAGCTAGCTGGAGGCTCTGCAGCAGCCTTTCGTATTGAGTAAGTCTAAACGGGCAGCTTCAGTTGTTTGTTTTTTTCCATCGAAGTTTTGGCAAAACCAAAAGCATCACTTTATTATGTTACATCACGTAATGGAAAATCAGAGTTCTCTATTGTTGTTGCCTTTCTGAACTACTGCTCTTTTCTTTTTTTACTGATTTGGGGAAGAAGAGAATCCCAAACATAACCACTCCAGCATCAAATTCCTCATATTATTGTTGAACTTTCTAATTGGGAAGGAGAAAATGAATCCTACTATTTCTCTCTTTTTCTCCCTTTTGTAACAGAAAATAGACTGTTGTCTGAAAGGCCAGCATTCTGAACATGAGTTGTTTCCCACTTTTCCACAATCATGTGGCTGAGCATGAAACAGAGGTAATCATTTCATCTTTTGTTCTGGCAGTGGGGGAATATTGCCATTTTACATAGTCTTCAACTTTTATCATAATTGTTCATGGGGCTGAGACCTCTTATTTCTTGCAAAGATTATCACAGAAAGTTACTTTCTTAGTTTCCCAGTTATATTTCCACACTGAAAAAAAATGTTCTTAGTTCCTTTATTTTTCTGATAAATATAGTCTGATCAGTGTTACATTTTTAATTTGCTAAAAATCAGCCCCTCTGTTTACACTGTACACGGAATTGAACACAATATTCCAGATAGTGCTGTAGATGAACCACTGAGAAGGAATAATACCTGGTTGGAGCCATAGAACTCCTTTTCCATGATTCTGCTCATGCTTCTTCCTTGAAATGCCTTCTGCATCAATTAATACCTTCTCTGCTTTATTAACTTTTCCAGACAGTAATTTCCCAAATGCAAAAATTGTTGTCTGTTCTAACCTCTGACCTCTCCTGAATATAACTGTCCAAGCTCTAAATAACCAGCTGAAATATGTAGGAAAAAAGCATTTCCAAAAAAATTTAACAATAATGATCTTGGATATTTTAAGGTTTAAAATCAGTTTACTTTGAGGGAAAAGTAGTACCCAGCTTTACTGCAAACATAGAAATGCAACATAATAGCAGCAGGTCTGAAACCACTGCAGAAACAGAACCCATAGCATCTGCCTCCTATTTCTCGATCAAGGACAAGATAATGATTTAATGTTAAGACTTTATTAGACTGAACTGTGGAAGACATAAACTCATTCCTTCACACCCTCCCTAAAAGTAGTATATCATATCTTTGGGTCTAACCCTCAAAAGGCAGTTAGTCACCTAACTAATTTATGACTTACGCGAAATGGCAATGCATGATTTCAGG